CTACAACGTGTGCACAAATATATTGGATAATAACAAGTGTACATGACTATTATATCTGTGACCTGTGCTAAACTTGTCGTGTTAAGATGTCAGTGGCGACATATGTTTGTGATCATGCAAAAATACGTATGCCAAAGGATCTGTAAATACCTCCTGCTCATTGGTCATGGTCTTCGTCATCATGCTAACTAGCTCTTCAACATCAGTCTTCTTTACCACACCAGCTATAGCAGCATCAACCTACTGCTGTACTTATTTGGATTTAAACATATCATGCATGTTGAAAATGGTTGAATTGATTAGTGTTGAAGTAATTCCCAAATCAAAAGATGGGGTCGAAGGAAAGTATGGATATTCGATGTCATTAGCGAACCATCTTGTCATTGCCTTTCTTGTCAATTGTTTGTTCAATGTTGGTAACCTGATGTAATACAATATCAATTGGCAATGTAGTTTTTTGAAATATCGCATCCATCGTACTTGATAGTAATGCAATCACAAAATTGGACAAAAAGTCAAGCTTGACCGTATTTCAGCCATGTCCGATCGAATATCACCTTGCATACAAATAATTTGATCAATCTTGCTGTTCTCATCTCACTTTAAGGATGATAACTGTGACTTTACATCATTAAGCTGCACTGTCAAATCGATAACTTACACTGGAGTTCAGTGATTTGACCACTCAACTCCTTTTTCAACTGGTCAACCACCTGTAATGGAATAGTGCAAATGCCTTCAATGAGAACGACTGTGACTTATGTGACATATTCATACCCTATATCTTTCACACATATAAATGAACTTACATTGTGTTCAGCATCAATGCATGTGATGTGATCTGCATAAGGCAGTTTCGGGATAGAATTTTCAGAAATTTCGCAAGTTTCCTATTTTGATCATAAGTCTAATCTTACCATATTTAAGTTATTTTGGACATTTTTTCCAATTTTAATTAGATTCTAGGGTTTTAGTATAAATAGGGATTATATTTTTCATTATATTCAGAACTTTTGACATGATGAATTAAAATAGAGAATTTTCTCTTTGAAAGGTTTGCTTCAATTCTTGTTCTGAATGGAACAAAATCGAACTTATCAAGATTAATAGTCTGGTGGCGTTCAAACTTGGGCTTTGATTCTATAATTCTTTGTACTCAAAAGGTCGACATATCTATATGATTGTAACGGTTATTTGATTCAACGTTATTAGGTCAGATCTACAAAATCGGGTAAAATTCAATTAATTTGCGTAATCAAGAGGTCCGCACATCGTCAGTGATTCGGGTTGCTTGGTTCCAAGTTCATTGGGATAAATCCAAAACCTTACTTTGGCTTTCTTGGGGATGATTTCAATATTGATTGTGGATTTGGTAGCGACTGACGACGCGGGCTCACATCAACATGTTTCCTGCGTCTTGATTAGAGTATTGGTGTCAGCCCTTCTGACTCATTCAAAAAATATTCTTGTGTTGTGTGCTCTTCGACCAATGGGTGGAAATACATTGATGTCTTCTGCCTTTTCGGTGGTGTATCAACAAAATCATTATCGTAGTCGGATTCAACATCACTTGAATGACCTTTTTGTCCATCTGTAATCACTGAAAATTCGTGGTGGACATATGAGACTGCACAGACACACTTGTGCCTTCATGGCCTGGATGTTAAGAGCAAAAGTCACCTACTGTATTTGGTTGGATTGGTTTGTTGTATGGAACACCACTCATATATGGAGATGCCATCTCGTACTCAAATGGGGTAATGTAACATACTTCAATCTACAGCCATAATATAATTGACCAACATATTAGTCGTCCAACCATATATTGACTATCAGGGACTGTGACTTGAACATGTTAGATAACATTATCGTGTTAGGGAAACTGAATGTCATCACATCATAATTATGCTTGTTCTTCATGTGTGTGATTTGATACGCATGAGAATTGTCTAAAATGTGACTGAATGATGCAAGTTCGAGATCACATGTAATCTAAAACATTAGGACAGTACGTTATGATTTTGAGATCAGTGATAAGTGACTACGATAGCAGTGAGCTACATTTAAAATCAAAGCATTTACACACATCGGAATGGGAGAAGACCTCTTCATCCAATTTGCCTGCAGACGGTTGTTTATGCGACGTCCAGTTCATAATGTGGGGGTGCCTATTCCCCACCCTATTGGTCACAGGTCCATTGAGGCTTGGAATGCACTCATAAATCCAAATTTGAAATGCAACCAAAAAACCCTTTAGTCTGTAGTGGGGACTTCTACGTCCCAAACCCTATTTCAGAGATTTTATAGACATCTCAAATAAATCCTTACCCTATGGAAACCTCTCCATCACAATAAAATCTTTTACTAAAGAAAAAAATAATTTTCGACAACCTTCTTGTAGGACGTAGAGAACAAGAATGACTTAATGAAATATAGAATCCCAATACTCATGACATCATGATCATCTACATCCGACAAATTTAAAAATACATCACGCACATTGTCATTTGTAACTAGTTCTAAATCCCCAAAATATGTTTCCTTAATCCTGGAAAGGATGTTCTCAAGCACTATCCTAACGTCCTTACCATTACATCTAAGCCTTGTGACCAAACAAACTCACACAATGAGAATCGCCAATATCTATTTTCAACCTTAAGCCACGTCTCATTATGATTTGGTTGCTTCACCTCCTAAACGAAAAATAGTGTATAAGTTGCGGTGCACAACAATTTCCTAGCAATCCATGTAATATGAAAAACATGTGTCTGCCAAAATAACCTTCATTTCGTCAATGAACTTCAGTTGGAAATTTGTCAAAACATTCTTTGTCACATTCGTGGTAATTTTACCCGAGAACCATTGGTATTTGAGGATAATGTAATTCCATTCCTGCAAAACATTTATGAAAAAGTGTAAATATATTTCAAACATCTTGTGCATACATCGCATATATTGTGTAAAAACAAATTCAACACCATGTCACAAGGTAAACATGGTTGGTAAAACTGAGACACAGATTTCTCAATCCACACACATAGGCTACATTCACTTCGCATCTTCAAAACATCTTCTCATTCCATCACATATATTGTATAAAAACAATTTCAACGCCATGTCACAAAGTAAACAAGGATTGTAGAATTGAGACACAGGTTGCTCATTCCACACATAGAGGTCACATTCACTTCACGTTGTACACACAATCGTCTACGAGAAATCGGACAGCAAATTATAAGAACTATATCAGAAAACTTGCCAGACACTCTACACAATTTGTAGGTTCGATCACAAACTATAGGAAGTTCACACACCATAGTCACAACCCATGTCGCGGACTAATCGAACATTGGTCACAATATTGTACACATTCAATACACAGAACACATAGTAGTCATACAGAGCATACTGATCGAAAATAGCACTATGACGTTCAAGATCACTCAACAAATTCAAAAATCAATTACCCATGTGCGAAGTTTACACACTGTCGTCACACGCCACAATCAATTACCCATATATGAAGTTCACACACTACAGTCACAGCCCATATCAAGGACTAATCGAACAATGGTCACAATATTGTATAGATTCAATTCATCAAACACATAGCAGTCATACCAATCAAAACAATAGGTCACAACTGAACATATTCCAACGAAAGTAACACAATGCCATTCGAAATAACTTAACAAATTCAAAAATCAATTACCCATATGCTGAAAAAATACTCAGAACACTTACATTCTTTGATTTTCGTCTCAGGGTTTCATCTCGAGCCTTCTTTCCGATTTTTGGTCTTGTGGAGCCAGATGAATGAACCTCCGTTCTTCGATTATCACCTCTTATCACAACTTCTTGTTTTCGGCATTCTCAAACCCTTGTGTTTCATTGCTTGAGATAGATGAAGGGCGGTGATATGGGGTTTCGTTGCCTAAGTTGAAGGGCGGTTTCTATGATTTGGGTAGGTATCAATTTAGGTGGATTGATTTTGGGAGATTGCACATTGTGGTTAAGCAATTTTCGAAAGATATTGTTGCCTTATTTAAAAATTTTCTCTCTCCAGTTTTAACATAAAGAACGGGAATGGTTACAGTTAATAAGTAAATAAATAAATAAATAAATAAATATATATATATATACATATATATCTTAATATTTAATTAATTAAAACTTTATTTTTGTATTAACAAACTTAATCCTTTACAAATGAAGATTGATCTTATAATACCGCTCTGGCTATAATTTCCATGGAATTGGATTGAGTATGGGCCTAGGCCAAAAGTGGCAAATGCTCGCACTGAAATGTGAAAGGCTTCGCCCTTGGTGTGTTTGGTGCTGGATTCTATCTAATAAAGATTAAAATTGATCTAATCCAGGATTTAATAGGAATAATATGTCGAATAAACTGTGAAAATATCTAGGAGTTAAGAATGGACCTAATGACATTTATTCCCACAAGCAATTCAGTGTGATGAATAATATTGAATATTTAGGAAACTGATTAACCTTTTTCCTGTGAAAAAAAATAATATTCATTAAACGTTTCACCTAACCCTTATTCAAAACGTAAAATTATGTCTTTTGAAAGAGTAATGCTATTCGTAGTGAAAACTGTCAGTAGTCGCCTTATGTGGCATACACTTATAATTTGGTATTTGATACATAGATATGGTAATTAATTTTTTGAATTATACATCAAATGAAAAACTACTAGTTGTACGTCACATAAGGTGACTGCTGGTAGTCTTCACTGCAAATAGCATTATTCCTTTTGAAATTAAACTCATATGTTCATGTAGAAAATATTTTAAATGACAATTAAATTGACATGTGTATAATTTAATCATATTTATAATCCTACAGATAATTGTCATTTAATGATTAGGCGGAAGAATATTCCATATTACATAAGAAGAGTTATATAAGGTAAGATTTTAAATGTTTTAAACGAAATGCAAAGGGGAAAAAAGGGGAAAAATTGTATAAAAAATGTAGAAATGATAAATTTCAGGGAAGATGCACTTATGTGTGATGTAAAAATAGCAAATTGGAAAGAATTGCCCGAAGATTTGCTAATAGAAATTCTTCTCATGTTGTCTGTGAAATCTTTGATTCGATTTAGATGTGTTTCTAAAACTTGGAGAGAACTCATAAAGAGCACCAAGTTCATTGCTATGCATTTTGAATGTAACAAAGATAAAATAGTCCTCATCTGCCGTTATGTGCAAAAAGAGAACCAACATGTGATCTCTTTGCATTCAAATGAGGATTCTCTTAGCCAAGTATCAACAAATGTCAGAATTCCGTATTTTGATGAACGAACAGAACTGCCAATTTTGGGTCCATGCAATGGTTTGATTTGCATTACTAATTATTACACCATCGTTCTGCGTAATCCCGTGTTACAAGAATTTTATTTACTCCCTGACCGTCCTTTTCCATGCCTGCATGGTTTTAGACCGATAGTATTCGGGACGGGGTTTGGCTTCGATCCATGTACTAACGACTGCAATGTTTTAAGTACTGATTCCTGGAGATAAATTGATGCTAGAGTGCCAAGAATTCCGATTGACCAATGGTTTGAATTGTTCTTTAATGGAGCATGTCACATTTCATCAAGAAGGCCATATGCTAGTCGAATTATTCTTTGTTTCATAATAAGTAGTGAGGTTTTCACTATCATAGACTTTCCATAAGGCTGTTCATGTTGGGAAAATGGTAGTGAATGGTTCAACTTTGAACCCAAATTTCAGTGGGACCCGCATCTTAATTAATACTGGACCTAGTATATTCACGATCTATTCCGCAAGGTGATGAATGTGGTATATTTATTTACCGAAAACCATTGTGAAGTCGGTAAGCTGAAATTTAATTTTCTGATCCTGATGATCGTACTGTTTTGCTGTACAAATTACGTTAAGGTAATTCTAATTATACTCCAGAACCAACAGTTCAGACACTTCGAAGGATGATGGAAAAGATTCTAGTTTGGTGGTTTTGAATGAGTACCTTGCCATGGTTCATTAACAAGCATGGAGACAGAACCATAACTTATTGACATTTGGGTGATGAAGGAATAGGGTGTGAAGGAATCTTGGATCAAACAATTCACAGTAGGGCCTATTCTCGTTAGGTGCTCATTATCATCTTGGAAGAACTATACTCTTCTTATGGAAGGCAGCGATGGGCAACTAGTTTCTTGCAAACTTAAGACCAATACATTTAAAATTTTTGAAATTTACAGCGATCGTAGGGATTCATTGCGTGTCATAACAGTCAAGAAGAGCTTAGTTTCAACAATAAACACGTAAAAATAATAATTAAGTAGAATAAGTTGTAAATGTTTTTATATTGCAGTGATGCCTGTTTCCTTTATGCCGTCAAGAATCTATACGTGTAATCTATATTTTCAATCGTTAAATTATTACGATTTTATTATTTTATTTATATTTTACAAAAAAGTTGCTCTATGATACTTCTCAATAAACTACATTTAACACCATATATGTTTTCCAAATTGTAAGTACACAATACAACGATAAGTAAAAAAATTAGATTGTGAGTCGAGTATTCATCTTACAAGTTTTGCTTTACTAGCTACTGAATTGATGGTCCTAAATTTATTTGAAAAATATTTTGAAGTGTGATTTTGAACTAAAACTACTAAAAATGAATAGAAACAAGTACTCGTTGTAACCAATAAACTTGTGATGCTAGGACTTCACTATTGTATTGTAGTTTATCTTGTTCAAACTAACTTTTTTAAATTTTGACAAAATAGAATTATGCGAGCACCCCAATCTCATCTCCTAACGCTCGGTCAAAATTTGTGATTTCTCCTGGATGAAATATACGGTAGCTCTATATCTCTAATGCATATAATCACTCAAGTCTCAATCAATTCATTGATCTGGCTAAGTGCTCAAAGGTTTGGAAAATAAATGAATTTGAAGTAGATTGCGCAATATATCAAAAATATCATTCAATTATCAAGAGTAAAATCTGGATATAAATACTTAATCAAATAGCAGTAGTTCATACAACAAGATTTATATTTTTCAATTTTTAGGACCTTTTTTTTTTGGGATATTTCAACGTTTAGACTCAATAAAAATTAGGACATTAGCTAAATTGCACTTGACTTAACAAATCAAATGAATTAGCACATCATAAGACTCCATGTCCAAACTTAGAATTCACATTGTCCTTTATGTGTAGCATGTAACAAATGAGAAATAACTAAGTTAAGAGGTCAACAAAACTTCCATAGTTTTGATCTTTTTAAATGAATTGGTTATTGTTGATAGTTAGAACGTCCATTCTACTAACCTCAATCTCAAGCACAAGCGTCAATGTTGATTCATTAACTTTGCATAGTTCCCTCTTTAAACAGAAGCTCGATGTCAACATCGAATGTATAATGGACTTTGAAGTAGAACGACACACACTTGTCAATTTATTTGGGAGCTCGGCTATTACCATCTGAGTTTTTCCTTGACAATGTGCATCATTGCCTGTGAACATATATGGAAAACGAGAAACTTGTTATAGTTGAGCAATAGTTCTACCAAAGTTTTACCGTAAATTGCCCCATATAATGTATGTGACCTAAAGCAACATGTAAAACGCCTCAAAATTTAAACAATAACTAAAATCCCAAATTCAAGAGGTATAACCATGCTTACTTAAGATACCATTGATAAGACAGAAAATGATGCTAATTATGTGCTAGGTGATGCAACTACGTTGATAATCAAATGTTGAGATGTAATAAAGGTTAACTTGTATGTCGCGGTTAAACTGGCCTGGATATCCACGGTCATTATAATAATATTAAAAAAAAAAACCTTGAAGCTTGATGCATATGTCAAAATGAAGATCGCGGAACTTAATCTCAAGAAAAAGGTTGGAATTTAGTGTTAGTGGATGAAACTGGATTCATTCATACCGTATATGCAACAGCATACCATATTTACAACAATTTATCGTATTTGCAATAGCATATCGTATATGCAACAACTTACCATATTTGCATATACCGGTCTTGCATAAACGTGTATGCAGTATTCTAATATTTTTGGAGAAACTGTATTCTATTTTCTTTCGTCAATCTGATTTTATTTAAAACATAAATAGAACGATAAAATAATAAAACTGCAAATTGTATAAAGCACACGAATAAATTGCAAAAATAGATAAAGTCACGGGAATTAAATAAATAATGGATGAACTTTCAACTCAAGGCCTGTGCCAGTACAGTTTCCTTAAAATAGATTCACCCCCTCACCATAAGTGCTTGAAATTTAATCATTGCGTCTGTTTTTAGGATACAATGGTAAAACTAGTAGGATCTAAGCACCACAGATACTACTCTGACGAACTGATTAGTATCCGAATAATATCACCACCAAGACGACGCTGACAGAAATCGAGATTGTGTATGTAGACAGACGCAGAGAACAATAATATGCAGACACAATTTTTCTCCTGTATATTTTCATGTGTGTAAAATTGCTGGAAAATGAGATTTAATAGAACTTAAATTTGCCCATTAACTCTGTGGTAATAAACATTGGAGTTACTTTAGTTTCTGCAGTAATCATTAGAGTTTTAGCAGTTTCAGGAACTCAAAAGTCAACTGGAGAAAGCAAAAAAATTGCAAAATGTGAACATTTCAAATGGGCCAAATTTTGCTCCGTTCGGTCCGACATTCGTGTACGCAGATCGCACCCGCACATAAGTTCAAGATCCAAATGTTATTTCGATCTGTGATTTGCACCCCCTGCCCGTACATAGAAAGAGTCTCTATGCTACACATGATTACATCCTTCCAATATGCAGCAATATATAAAGTGGTTCATGCTTTCTTCATTTTTCTGTGTAGGACAAATCCAATTTTTCAACATAAACCATCTTCCAATGGTCAACTTTAAGCTTCAATTTCTCATTCATCCAAACTTCATTTTTGGCAAGTAAATATATGATTTCAATGTTCTCACGAAGGAGAACATAAATCAATTTTGATCTTCCAAATTCAACCAACGGGTCCCACCGAAAATTGTGCCAAAAGTGAGTCATTTACACATTTTTTCCAACAATCTGCCAGATGAATGAAAATTGGGAGAGACACGAGACCGTGAGACACAAGATTTGACGATAAAGTTCAACGGTTGAAGCCTACATAGGATAAGTAGATATTACCCTTTGAACCTTCCCTTGTAAAAGGATATTTACTTTACTAGCTGATTAGTAGACGTGTTGTTCTTGAATTGTTCTGCTGTTTATGTAAACAATGATATATTCCACACAAAATTCTTCCTAACACAATTCAATTCTCATTATTATGTTTGTTTTAGCCATGAACATCTGCCTGGCTCTATGAGAATTCTTAAGAATTGAGCCCCACACAATTCTCTTTAAAACGACCCCACTTCTCTCTCACATAGGTAATTTCTTATCACAAGTAACCCACATTATTTAGCTTGATTTTCAACGCATAAGAATCATTTAAAGCCTATTGCTCATTCTTTATCCTTATGGGCATCACTGATATATCATAGGAATGGAGAGGAGGTAAGACCCCATAGTGATTTTATTATGTCTTTACAATTAGATTGTTCCTTTGAACTTAGATCTTGGGATCTCTAGTCAACTAGGTTGGGTTTCCTTTGTAATGACTTATCTATTCAAAGGTTTAAATCTCATTCCTTTCGATGATTTCTCAACTAACTCTTTGTTTAACCCTTTGGTTAGCGGATCCCCAATGTTATCTTTTGACCTTACATAGTCAATAGTGATAACTCCAGTTGAGAGTAGTTGTCTTATGATATTATGTCTACAATGTAGATGTCTAAACTTACGATTGTACATGTTACTCTGTGCCCTTCCTATTGCTGATTGACTTTCACAACATATGTGAATTGTTGGTACAGATTTTGACCATCTTGGAATATTTTCTAAGAAGTTACGTAACCATTTGACCTCTTTATCACATTTATCTAGAGCTATAAACTCAAATTTCATTGTAGATCTGGCTATAACTATTTGCTTAGAGAATTTTCACGATATGACAGCACCTCCCAATGTGAACATAAATCCACTGGTGGACTTCGAGTTTTTTATATCAGATATCAAATTAGCATCACTATATCCTTCAATGATCGCTGGATATTTGGTATAATGCAGTCTATAGTCACGAGTATATCTTAAGTACCTTAATACTCTTACTATTCCTTTCCAGTGATCAGCTCCTAGATTACTCATTTTCTACACAGATTACTAACTGTGTAGACTATATCTGGTCTTGTACAACTCATCAAGTACATTAGACTTTCAATAATTCTCGAGTACTCTATTTGAGAGACACTTTCACCTTTTTTTTAGATAGATTTTGAATTGTATCTATCGGTGTTTTAGCCAAGCCAGTATCATCCTTATTAAACTTTTCTAAAATTTTGTCCACATAATGTGACTAACTTAGAACAAGCTCATCTGATATTTTTGAGATTTTGACTCCAAGTATAACATCAGCTAAACCTATATTTTTCATGTCGAATCTCGAATTTAACATATTTTTAGTGGATTCAATCATCTTATTATCACTACAAACAATTAACATTTCATCAACGTAAAGACATAAAATGACATAACCATCTTTCATATCTTTGACGTACACACATTTGTCACACTCATTTAT